CGTTTTCCAAACTTCTTTGTATGCTGTGCTTTAGATAGCAACCCTAAAAGCGGATTTGATGAGTGCAGAAAGGAAACATCGAGAAAAAGTTGAGCAGCTTATGAAAGATCATGATGAAGCGATACAGAAGTTGATGGAACGACATCGTCAAGCATCATTGGCAGCAAAAGCTGTAAGTCTGTTTTGTCGAATCGATTACTCCGCCTATTAGCGAATCGATGTTCTCCTAAATCGCGCACCTTCCTGAATGGCGATGAATTCTCCGATAAACGCTAGTCTGCAGGGCCAGTCCATTCCCATTTAATCCTTTGCCATCTATTCTCAGGAGTCGCTCATTCATTCAGTTCACAGAGTATGGGCGCATCCTCATGAATATCGCCGCAAATGACATTGGAGGTGGGGGGGGGGGCACATTCCGCGTAGAAGACTGTAATCACCCTGTTAAGGATGGAACTACCGTGAAGGAAATTGGTAATCCTCTGTTTAGGGGGTCCTTATCCTTCAGGCCCGAGCAGGCCTTCATTTCTGTTGGCAATAACTATTTTGAACAAGTTCTTTAAAAGCAGCGATCACGTTCACTTGATGTTCCTACGCCCTTTCTGGATATCATAGCCCTCCCCATAAGGATGCAGTATGTACTAGTTTTGCATCTCACAAAGGCGAGAGGATAGCGCCTATCGCTAGTAAAGAGTCGACCGCCCCGCCCACCTGGCGACCACGACGCCCAACTTCATTTCTAATGGTTGCCTGATGGTGCGGTTGTTCCATTGCTGCTTCTCTCCACGTCGTGTGGTGAGAGTGAGGTGATAAGGGAAAACAGCTGATATCAACAAGTGAGAACTCGTGCGGCCGCCTTCTCTTCGCCTTAAGCACGTACAACCGCTGTTCGGTATGATGCTCCTTATAGGGCATTTTGCATGTTTTCTTTTTGGTTTTTTCTTCACTAATAGGTTTCTTGCTACCTTGCTATTACTACCTGAGCCGCATACTCATCAAATTTGAACCGCAGCGTAATTAGCTCGTGAATAAGAGCGTGTCGCACGATTAGGGGGGGGGATTCGTTTTCAAGGAAGATGTTCGCGGTTTTTGGCCGGAGAATTTTGGGAGAAAAACTCCGAAGAATAAGTAAAAAAATTGGGTGAATCAAACGGGAGGTGGGAAAAGGGTTGTTTCAGTGAAGGAGGTTTTGGGAGTGAGTCGTATCTCGCAAAGTTTTACCACAACGGCAGACTTGTCCTGGTCCAAATATCCTGGGGTCCCATAATTTTTCATCAAAAGAAATGAACAAACTGTAAGTAACTGTATTATATTTATAGGCCAGAAAATAACATTGATTCGTCTTCTGAATTTGATGGATGATATTGATGGTACAGGTATGAATACTTATCTTTATGGATTGCTCATCATTTGACTTTCAAGCAGTTCTCATTGTGATCTATAGCATTAGAAGTAAAACCGTTCAATATATATTTGTAATTCTGAGCATGACCATGTTGCATTTGCATAGATTCTGTCCGCATTAGATCTGCTTTTTTTGAGCGGTGGCATTTTTTTTCAAAAGTGTAGAATACAGTTTATTTGATGATGCTTCTGCTTTTGTTCAGGATCCTTTTGATTACCTTCAAGCATCATTTAAATATGTTTTCGAATGTACTTATATTAGTGTGATTCTGATTAGTTATTGCTTTCATCTCTGTTCGAGTTCACCTTTTGGTTCGTTGGATTCATAGAATTCAGTTATGATTATACTTCGACAGATAAGCTTAGCGAAATGCCTTAAAAGTGTACTTTAGCCTTTAGATATTTTGAGAGTTTCTTTTTCTTTAATCGTTTTTTTGAATTATTGATATTATTCAAGAACTAAAGTTGCGAGGCTACTGGGGAGGGGGATTTTTGGGTGAGCAACACTCGTTTCTCTTTATTTTTTCTTGTGATATCTTACACTGTACCTCCTCCTCTCATCCCGGAGCACACCATGGCTTATCTCTTGAAAGTTGGTGTTAATGCGATTTTTGCTATCTCACCATCGCCTCGGTAGCCCGCTATATTTGCTCGCAGCCTCCCCTCCACCCACCCCTCCCCCCGCGACGACCCCCACATCGGGCAAGAACGCAACATACGTTTAATATTGTGCAAGACGTTTTGTAAAACTAACTGTAATGTAAGGTTGTGTTTCTTTTGAATAAATCTCAAATGTCATGAGTGTTCTGTTTCTGTTTCATTTTCTTCTCTAAAAGCTATTCATTTCCAAGAGCCGTTTTTTTTGCTTTGTGGGAAAGTCACTGTTATGGTTGGTCAAGTTGAAAAGGGATCCCGGGAAGTTCCAGGATCAGAACCCCGAGTTGTTCATCGGCTGCCCACCCCTCCCCCCAAGTCATTGTATAGGCCACATCGCATTCAATAAGCCACTACGATTCTGAATGGAAGTAGAATGCGTGCCGCATCCCACAAAGGGATTGATTGACGGCGACTATTTTCTACTTAGGCTTTTCAAACTGGTGGTAATCCTGGTGGGTACAACGGCGGCCTTTGAAACGGTGCTGTGTTCACAAAGAATGTCCCGAAGCAGGGCACATCGTTGTTGGGGAATCCCCAACAGGGGGTCATATATGGCCACCAGGAGAGGGAGGGGGGGGAGTCGTACTTGGGCCGAGAAAAATTTATTTGATAGTTGATTTTTCTCGCTTCACGGACGTTGTAAAGGGGGGGGGGGGGTCGTACTTGGTCATTGTTGGGAGGGGAGGCGGTCGTATTTACGGTCCCCCTTTGGCGTCGTTAGGAGCGGTGGTTAGATTTTGCGTTTTCCTGTTTCATGTATAGTATATCTCTCCCTCCCTCCCCTCCTCCTCCCTCGCTGGACAGCAAAATTTTTGGGAAAAAGTAGGGAAGTTCTCGGGGATTTTAGAAGTGGCAGAAAGTTGGAGAAAATCTGAGATTGGTAAAAGGGGGGGGGGTCGTACCACAACCCCAACCAGCGTAGTGTGTGGCAATTCTGACATGGGTTAATGCGATGGTGAGCGTGGCTTGCGACGCCGCAGCCCTTGCGTACGAGTTGTGTTGTCTTACGCGTCGCTCAACTTATTAAGGGAAATATCTCTTCGCAACGTGTACGTGACAAGAGAATCGTAATTCGCCGCATCAGTGGGCGTCGCGTGCGACGTCGTGCCCGCCGTGACAGCGATTCTAGGTCGTGTTTATTGAGAATAGACAACGTATGATCGAGAACAGCCATAAATTCCTACGATATCCTAGTATACATGAAATCCAGTGCTCCAATCGGATGGGTCATGCAAATTAAGTAGTGGCGTCCAACGCCGCGAGCGACGATGCGGCAGATTACGATTCTCTTGTCTGTCACCCCTTTGCAACTCTGACGTGGAGGCCGTCAACAAAAGGAAATCCATCGATCCAATAATAGCTCTTGCGGATACGGTGGTGCAACTCAGACGTTGCCGCGTGGTTCGCCGCGCGCGACGTGGGCGGTGCTACTTCGTGAGCTCACGAGTGAATCCAAAAACGTTTAGGTGTTCAAGAAATGTGTGGAAAAACAGGGCACATCGTACTTGTGAATCCCTTGTGAGTGGGTCGCATTCGGTCGCTGGAGGGAGGGGGGTTTTTTGCGGGTAAAAGGTCTATGTAAATCTGCAGTCAAGAAACTAGAACAGAGCGAATAGTTTATTTGTATGTCATTTTTCATAGTGTGCTATGAGTTTGACTTTGCCATCACCACTTTGCGGATACTTGTTAGTCGCGCATGGACAATAACCTCCGTCCTCTCCACGCGGGCCAGGTGGTCCAGTCTGAAAGGGAAAATTTGGAGAAGTTATCGTATAGAACGCTACAAGAAAACTTACAATTCCTGGAATGCCGTGTAGTCCGGGAATACCATCTCTTCCTGCGGCTCCACGTGGTCCTGGTTCTCCAGGTTCACCAGGTTCGCCAGGAAAACCTGGCGGTCCAGGAGGTCCCATGACTCCTTCTTTTCCTGGTGGACCAGGTGGGCCAGGAACTCGTGTGTACAGTACACCTGGTCCTCCAGGAATTCCCGGTGTTCCAGGTGGGCCAGGCGGTCCTAAATTTTGCACACCGTACATATTAGTATTGAAGCATTTTTCTGTAAAATCTCCAAATTCTTGCAGAAAATACCTTGTGCTCCAGGGTCTCCAACAGGGCCTTTGGGTCCAGGACCACCAGCACGGCCACTGGCTCCTGGACGTCCGGGGATACCTCGAGAACCCTGTTCACCTGAAAAGAAAGATTATTGGTCCGTATTGCAAGAGAAGAAATTCTACTTTTCAAATAACCTTCAGGTCCCGGTGGTCCTTGAACTCCAGGTGGTCCGGCTGGACAAACTGCGCATGCATCTGAGTAATGCCTTGTCAATGAGCTGTCGTCGTCACCATTTCTTCCGTTCTCTCCAGGCAATCCGGGAACTAAAAATGGGTCGCATCTATTTGTTGTAAATATTTGCATGAATATTCATAAATTTTTGACATTCGTGGGGTCGAGGGGCCATCTGAGGTCTATTTCTTATTTTCTTCGGTGGAGCTGATTATGAACAGGAGTGGAGGTGTTGTAGAGGCAAGTGACGCTGCCACTGCGCGGTCCAGGCATTGAATAGGTTGGCTCTCGCTCTGGATAAGTGAGCTTTTCTCCCTCCTTGGCTTGATCAATTGGTACCAGACTGTTTGGGAGCTCAGAACGTTGACCTGTAGACCAGATGGCCCTCGCAGGTGATTGCATACGCCAAATTTTATCCGAAATTCCAACCGTTCCAACTGGAAACAGAGAGCATTGCGCGTACAGAGGAACGATAGGGCGACACCAAAAGCTGTATATCTTATGAAAATCGATCTGAATTGTTTTATTTACGAATTCTTGTACGGTCTCCCTTTTGACTTGGATCTTCTTCCTCTTTCCATCTTGATCAAATTCTTGGCGCTAACGCCAGCTCTGACTCAGACTTCAGGTCAGCTCCGCCGGCTTAGGTCCCAGGGTACTGAAGGCACATTCCCGCTGATGGTATGGACGGTGCCTATCCTGCTAGCGCGTACCTCTACGACACTGAGTAGTGATTGTCAAGAAAGTCGGTTTGACAAGGAAAGAAAGAAGAGAAAATCGAAAGGCAGCACTCACTTCCATCAAGTCCTGGTAGTCCTGGTAGCCCTCGCGGTCCTCTCGGGCAGTTGCACCTAAGTGCGCACATGGGTTGAGAAGAAACAGAAATAGCTAAAATGCTTAAAATTTCAATAAGCCTAGATACCTCAACACAGGGAAAACTGCTTCTTCTGAACTATCTTGATTAACTAAAAAAGCTTTCGTTTCCGGGGTTTGCAGAGAAAATTCCATCCAAGTCAAACTAGGCTTTCATTGCTCCTGATCGTGACATCGAGGAATGCTCTACCCACAACTTGACAGTCCATACCACTCTTTCTCCACCACTGTTACGACACCCGAATGAGGGAGGAGGAGGTGGAAACGTCGGAGATCTCCGACTAGCTACCAGTAGTAGTAATTTGCCACTACGACTTTGCCGACTTCGAGAGCGGCAAGGCCCGTTTTATAGCGTCCAAATGAAATCGGTGGGGTCAAGACCTTCATGCGAAACTCACTCTTCCCAGTCGAGATTGCCTTAACGCACTCCTGACCCCTTTCAGAGTCAGGGCTTAGTACCAAATTATCAGGGAACATACAGTCTTGTTTGCTGCGGACAATGGCGCGTTTGAGGAGGAGGAGGGGAGGCTGGGTTTGATGCGGCGCCGAGCTGTTCTGCAGAAGTTGTGGTCACCTGCCAGCCGCCAACAGTTGGTGCAGAAGGTGCTGGCGCCGCGCCGAACCCTGCCCCCTGGAACACCCCAGCGTCCGCAGCGAACAAGGCTGTTAACACACCTGATACGTGTGCAAACGCTTCAACTGTTTTAATGGTGGGAATGTCCATGACGAAGGAACCAGGTGAAGGCAAAGGGGGGGGGGGGCTCGATAGCTAGATAACTAGTTCACGTCTTCTCCATGTTTAGCTGATCATGTGTGCTCTCAATGAGTTCCCAAAAAGTTCGGTTGTTTGCGATGAAGATGCAGACGGGCGACAAAGGGACATGACTGGTCTCGTCCAGCCCTAGATGAAATTCAGGAGATCTCGGTCATGGCGCGCAATCCAGCTAGTATTCCTAGCCAGTTAACCCGGCGCAGTCCTTTGACGTCATGCCAAGTTAGGTCGCCTGCCTCCCTTACCATTCGCTTGACGGCATTGTCTCGAACAAAATACGACCCCTTCCCGCTGGGGATTCTCCAACCCACCGAAGTGACCTGCAATGGATGCCATTTCATGGGTGAAACCACTGAATAATGAACGCGACCCGGCAGTGTTCCTCAAAAATTGAAAAGGAAGGTAGCAAGTTGAGAGTTGCTGATTTTTTGAGACTGGATCATCAAATAAACGTTTGAGACTTTTAAGACTGCTTTGATACTGAACTTTCGAGTCAACTAGCTAAGAATGCCATTTCGCGCGCAATGTCGCGTTTAGGATGCTCTGCCCTAATCCCGCAATCTTCGACCATTTTTGCTCATGGAACCACTTATGAGAATGACTTCCTGATTTCTCGTCTCTTTAAATCAGCACTTACGTGACACTGCGACTGGTCTTGTCACCTGCTGCGGCACCTGTTGGAACTGACTGAAGAACGGAGGATTTTGAATCTGGACTGCTTGAGGATAAGCGTACAGATGACG